AAAAAAAAGTCTGTTCAAATATTCACACATTTAAAATTATTTTTAAAAAAAAGGTGAAGGTGAATGAATAATTTTTGCATTTAACTTAGAATATATTTCTAAGAATACTTATAAATGATACAGTCAGGAGTCATAGTAATATAAGTCAGTTGTGTGGTGGTTTGAGTAGACTGTGTGGACTGACCTGGAAAAATCAACAACCACTCACAGTATTGTTTTTGTAGGATAATTTGGAGTTTCAGACACTTGGGACTTTGATGTTATAGAAATTCTGAATATTGAGATTATACATATGCTGAACTCTTATCAATGATACTTAACCATAGCTTCTGTATATATAATAAAATGGTAATTGAAGTCTTGAATGCCAACTGTAAAGCTTGAGAAGCCCCTAAAGTACTATACTACATGAATAATCAGATTAAATTTCATAAACCATGTTTTTTATATTCTGAGGGTTTTTTGTTTGTTTTGTATTTTCAGGACACCCTTAAAATGTATTTTAGTAACTAGAAATATTATTTTCTATGACTATTCTAAATAAGAATATTTACTCAGCCAGCACAGTGATACATGCTTATAATCCCAGCAACCTGAGAAGCTGAGGCAAGAGGATCGAAAGTTTGAGGCCAGCCTGGACAGCTCAGAGAGGTCCTCTATATCTTCATGAGACTCGTCTCAATATAAAAAGTAACATAAAAAGGACTAAGAATGTAGCTCAGTGAGTGGTAAAGCACCCTGGGTTCAGTCACTGGGAAAGATTATTACATAGTTATTAAAAGAACTAAAAATCTATAAATGTTAGGTATATTTCCCCAAGTCATAGAACTTGAAGGACTAAATAAACCATCTAGTCCCAATATATTTGAGAAATGCAAGATAGGAGAGGTTAAATGATATCTTTAAGGCAGTATGCTGGTTGATTACAGAGCTAGGCCTAGAACTCAGACCACCTGATTCTCAGTTTTATCATAGCGGGGAAAAGTGAAGTCCAGACATTTCAGATGGTTCTGATGCCCAAATCATCTGGTTGAGGTAATCTGCCTTTACCCAAATCAAAAGATCTTTTGTTTGCTAATTAATAATATAGTGATAAAGTATAGGATGAAGACTCAATAATATTTATAGCTAATTGTAACAGGAATTAGATTAGGGGCGGGGGTTGTGGTTCAATGGTAAAGTGCTTGCCAAGCACTTGTGAGGTACTGGGTTCAACCCACAGCACACTTAAATAAATAAATAAATGCATAAAATAAAGTTATAGAAAAGGAATTAGATCAAGTGCAGGCACTTTTTAAATTCTAAAAATGCATTTTTTTTTAATTCTAGGCTTATAAGTAATTTTCATGTAAAGATAAACACTCAGCCTTGAGTTATAATAAAAGGTCAATATAATTACTTACTGTTAATGAGAGGTCAGGGAGTTACTTTGGTTTTGGCAGAGTTTATTGATAAAATTTAATATTTAATTATGCATTCAGAATATATTGTAAGGTACTTTAATCTGTAATAAATAGAAACACTTCTCATTGGCAGTAAATGCTATGGTAAGAATTAATTGTAGTTAGACTGTATTAAAATAGTAACTTTCTTTTGCAGCACCAGGTCACAAGCATGTACCTGATTGGGTTTGGATTGTTGTGGGCATCCTCAACTTTATGGCTTACACTCTTGGTAAGAAATTGGTAAATACTTATTTTTAGTCAGTGGCTGGTGAATTAGCATTAACATTTTCTCCTATGTTTAATTCATTTTAATTAGGATTTATTAATATCCACTTCAAATTGGTAAATGTTTTTGAATTTTCACTGAGACCTATTGTCATTCACTTCTGGGGACTCACAGTGTAAGATAGGAGTTGACAGACTACTCCTAGAAAGCCAAATCTGTCCCATTGTCTGTTTTCATAAGTAAAGTTTTACTGGACACAGGTACACTCATTCCCTTTCTTGTTGCCTGTGGCTGTGTTCTGGCATTAAAGAGACATTTGAGTATTTGCAGCTGAGACTCACAAAGGGTATGGACCACATAACCTAAAATATTTATTATCTGGTGCTCAACACAAAAGATTTGCCTTCAGTTTGGGAAGCAGTACTGACAAAGCAAATGATTGCAGACTGGTGAGAGAGATGCTGTAGCAGCACAGTGGGAGAACAAATAATGAAGTGACCAATTCATTTTCAGTAGAGGTAGTCTAGTGGTCAGGGAGGTCTGCTGTGTGAGGCCCATATTGTCTATTCTGCCTGCAGTGCTTTCCAGAGTGATTATCTGTATGGCTTGTCTTGCATCCTTCAGTCCTCCTTTCCTGCTTTGTTTTTCTCCATAGCTCTTAAATCTATATAACACATTTTCTATTTACTTGCTTATTTATCATCTCTCTGTTCTAACTAAAATGTTAGGTTCTTTGAGGATGAGTACTGTTCTGTTCATTGCTGTATCCTGGATTCTTAGAGCAGTGTGTAACACATGGTGGGTATTCTGTGTATAGTTTTTAAATAGATATAAAATAGTAGACCCTGACTTCAAGTTGCTTAGGTTTTTTTAAAATAAAAATGACTTGTTCTCATAAAACCAATATAACCTGGTATATTAATGCTGATATAGTGGATGACTAGAGCTGTAAGAGTTTAGAGAAGGAAGAGATCAGTGAAGCCTAGAAGAATTAGGGGAAACCTTTGTTAAAAGTTATATATTTAGGTAGAAGATTTGGAATAATAATAATATGTTATTATTATATAATTTTTTGAATTTATTATTAAAAACGAACAGGTTTTTAATTGCTGCTAATGATTTGGTTGTTCAGGACTGCTGTAAGGAATAGGGAAATTGAGGGTGGCTTCTGGGCTCTTATTTTCATAACAGCATTTCACAAAAATCATCTTAATGTCCTGTACCGTCTTACCTGTTGCCTCATGTCCACAGTTTTCTGGCAAAAAACCCGGCTTAACAAGAAGTATTCGTTGTAAGACCTATCTTGAACTAATGTGAGGCCGTTTTATAGTCTTTATTCTGCTACATGTGCTATGCATCCATTTTGCTGCAGAAAGGGGGATATCTTTCATAATATGTGGGATAGTCCCTAAGTTTCCCTTCTAAGAAAAAAATAAATCTGAAACATACCTGAATTTGTGGAACTGGAGTAGGTGAGAAAATGTAAACAGATTTAATAGCTATTTCAGGAATTCACTATGGTCTAGCTGTGCAGAAGTTGCACTGAAAATAGGAAATTGTTAAGCCTGGGAGTAATATGGAGAGACTTTTAGGAAACATTTTAGCTACATAAGGGCAGAAAATTTTGCAACCCTATATAATAGAGATCTGCAGGGTTCAGGCAGGAATTTGGAATTCATCCTTGTCTGTATTCCATCAACAGTATTGATAAATGCCCTCTTTACCATAGACTGATCTAGGCACCGGCGATAATACCATGGTGAACAAGATAAACATAGTAATAATAGGAATCCGTCCCTTTCTTCCTTTCTTTCATTCTTTTCAGTAATAGGGTTCAAACCCAGGGCAGTCATGCATCCTAGGCAAGTGCTCTGTCACCAAACTGCATTCTCAACCATTTTATTTATTTATTTATTTATTTTGGTGGGGTTCTTTTTGGGGAGTTTGTTTTGGAATTGGGGGTCAAACCCAGGGCTTTGCACATACAAGGCAGATAGATGCTTTGCCACTGAGCTACATCCCAGCCCTCCTCAGCCATTTTAAAATCTTTATTTTGAGACAGGGTCTTGCTCAATTGCCTAGGCTGCCCTTGAACTTAGAACTCTCCTGCGTGAGAAACAAAATTTAAGTAATTTGTTCAAAGTCTACAGCTAATAAATATGGAGCTGAAATTTAACCCTAGGCAGTCTGGATCTGGATCTGTGTTCTTCATGCTGTTCTGAATAATTAGGATTATAGAGATAGGGCACTATGCCTGGCTGGAATTTTTTCTTTTTTTTTTCCCTTTTTCTGTGCTGGTGATTGAACCCAGGGTTTCCTGCACGCCAGGCAGTGCTCCACCACTGAACTATCTTCCCAGCCCCTTTTCATTTTAACTTGGTTTTGCTGTACTTCTCTCTGTAGTAGTCTCCTCTGTTTTCTGCCCTAAATGAAGGTGTTCCACTGTGCTTTAACATTAGCTTTTTTTTTCTTCTCATTCCCATGGTAATCCTGATTCTTTTTTTTAAAGGAATAATGGGACTAACTTTTTTAAAAGTTATTTTCAGTTGTTGATGGATCTTTATTTTATTCATTTATTTATATGTGGTGCTGAGAATTGAAACCAGTGTCTCACACATTCTAGGCAAGTGCTTTACCACTGAGACACAACCATAGTCCCTGATTCTTACTGAACATTCTTAATTCAGATGATCCCCATGTTTATATCTAGTCCTCATCTATCTTCTGAGTTGCTAGTTCCAAGTCCCTTGGGCTGAACTGCTTGACATTACCATGTGAGTATCCTGCCAGCTCTTTAAAAACAGTATCTAAAATTGTCCTCTGCATCTTTTCTGTCACTCTTAACTGCTGTTGCTTCTTTCTTTCTCTTTACTACCACTTTCTTAGTTACCTACACTAGAACTTTGAAGATTGTCTTATCCTTAGATCTTCTGTCTTGTCTTCTATGGCATTCTTATTTTTACTTTTTTTTTAATATAGATGGACATGATGTCTTTATTTATTTTTTTATGTTGTTCTGAGGATCAAACCCAGTGCCTCACACATGCTAGGCCAGCTCTCTACCCCTGAGCCACAACCCCAGCCCTTGTTTTTTTACTTTTTTAATGTCTCATCTGCCCCCAGCTTTTCATTCCCATTAGACTCATCTCGATATAGGCTTACTAATGATTGTCCTCTCTTTCTATTCATTCACATGATGACAATGAGTCTTCCTAAAGCCTTGCTTTCACTCTTGTCATTTTCCTATTCAGATATCTTCTAGTAGCTTACTTTACTTCCTTGAACTTTTAAATTGTCTCTATATCCCTTTCTAGCCTTTTTATACTGCCTTCTTCACATACTAGCTTTTAGTCAAACTAAACTATGTGCATTGTTTGAAACCTCATTGTGCTTTTTCATCTTTGTATTTCTGAACCTGCATTGTGGTTTTCCCTCATTGTTTGTTGCTTCATCCCCCTTCTTGAAATGGCATACTTCTTATCTCTTAATTACTGAAATCCAACTCATTCTTTATGTCCCCACTCAGATTTCATCTTGTCCTAAAAGCCATTCTAGATTATCTTAGCCTGAAGGGAACCCTTTCCTTTTCTGGACTATTTTGTTTTTTGTGACAATACTGTACCTTTAATTATCATATTTTGTTCTTTCTCAAATGTAAACACTCTTAGGGCACAAACTTAATTTATTCTAAGAATTTGTTTTGGCAGGGGGTGAATGGTACTTGGGATTGAACCCAGGGACACTTTACCATTGGCCATAATTCTGGTCCTTTTTATTTTTATTTAAAAATTTTTTGGAGGGGTACCAGGGATTGAACTCAGGGACATTCAGCTACTGAGTCATATTCCCAGCCCTATTTTTTTTTTTTTTTAAAGAAGAGAGAGAGAGAGAGAATTTAATATTTATTTATTTATTTATTTTTTAGTTTTCGGTGGACACAACATCTTTGTTTGTATGTGGTGCTGAGGATCGACTTGAGCCACATCCCTAGCCCCTCCCAGCCCTGTTTTGTATTTTTATTTAAAGACAATGTCTCACTGACTTGCTTCTTAGTGCCTTGCTTTTGCTGAGGGTAGCTTTAAACTCACTTTCTCCTGCCTCAGCCTCCCGAGCCACTGGGATTACAAGTATGTGCACCTACACTTTTTTATTTTTTATTTGGAGACAGAGTCTCACTAAGTCTCTGAGCATGGATGGCCTTGAACTTGTGATCCTCCTACCTCAGCCTTCTGAGTTTCTGGGATTACAGGCATGTACCACTATGCCCATCTAATCTAAGATTCTTAGCATTGGTGGGATCCGGGTTCGATCCTCAGCACCACATAAAAATAAAATGCATTGTGTTGTGTCCATCTACACCAAAAAATAAATATTTTAAAAAATAAATAAATAAAAAATAAAAAGAATAGTATAGGTTCAACAAACTTATTTCTTATATTTGCAGAACATTGTTTGAAAGCCCTTAAAATCATGGAAGCAGTATATCTGTAAAGAAATGACTTTTAATTTGACACATGATGAAATAGGTGTTGTGACTGAAGCACTTTTGGATCCTAAAGCAAGGAGTGCTTAGATAAATTGTAATGAACAGCTATTGACTGTTCTGTGGAAGCTTGAGAAATTGTGACTAACATAACAATTTAGTTGGTAAGCAGATTTGGAATAATTCAGAGGCCAGGTAGAATACTTCTTTTTTAGATCTAAAGTTAAACACCATTCAGTATAATAGAACATTTTGATTTTTAGATTAAATTTTGAGAAATTATATTTTATTTGTGAAATCTTTAATTGTAGTAATCAAAGATTAGATTAGTACTGACTGGCAGCCACACTTAAGGTTTCTATAATGTACTGATCTCTCCCCCCCCCCAGTTTCTTAAAAATGACTTTGAAAAGGGAAGGAATGGAAGGGAGGGGGGATGGGAATAGGGAAGACAGAATGAATCGGACATAACTTTCCTATGTTCATATATGAATACACGACCAATGAAACTCCACATCATGTTCGACCGCAAGAATGGGATCCTAATTAGAATAAGTTATATTCCATGTAAGTATAGTATGTCAAAATACACTCTACTGTCATGTATATCCAAAAAGAACAAATAAATTAAAAAAATAAATAACGATGAGTTTTTCCAGCTAAGTGTGGTCGTGCATTCCTGTAATCCCAGCAATTTAGGAGGCTAAGGCAGGAGGATCACAAGTTCAAAATCAGCCTCAGCAACTTAGGGAAGCCCTAAGCAACATAACGCGACCCTGTCTCAAAAAGAAAAAAAAAAAAGTCTTGGCATATGGCTCAGTAGGGCCACTGGGTTCAATCCCTGGTACTGGGCGGTGTGTATGTGTGTGGGGTTACTTTTTCCCACTGGTACAAAGGTTGACCTTTTTCTTGTGATGTGTGTTTTGTTGCAGATGGTGTGGATGGAAAGCAAGCCCGCAGAACCAATTCTAGCACCCCCTTAGGGGAGCTTTTTGACCATGGCCTGGATAGTTGGTCATGTGTTTACTTTGTTGTAACTGTATATTCCATCTTTGGACGAGGACCAACTGGTGTCAGTGTTTTTGTTCTTTATCTCCTATTATGGGTTGTTTTGTTTTCTTTCATCCTGTCTCACTGGGAAAAATATAACACAGGAATTCTTTTTTTGCCATGGGGCTATGACGTTAGCCAGGTGGTAAGTATGTGTTCTGCTTTAAGTCTTTAACATTACCACTATATTTTTGGAAAATTTTTTGTCATTCCTTCCTTATTGCTGTTTTGATTAGAACAGATGTGTGCTTTTTTTTTTAAATTATTATTATTTTTTCAAGAGAGAGTGAGAGAGGAGAGAGAGAGAGAGAGAGAATTTTTAATATTTATTTTTTAGTTCTCGGCGGACACAACATCCTTGTTGGTATGTGGTGCTGAGGATCGAACCTGGGCCGCACACATGCCAGGCGAGCGCGCTACCGCCTGAGCCACATCCCCAGCCCCCAAATGTGTGCTTTTTAAAAACATTAAAAAGATTTTTAAAATTTTACTTATTTATGGAAAATTTCAAACATACAAAAGTAGAGAGAATTTTATAATGCATCTGTTAACTTAGCTTCAGGAGCTAGCAGGATATGGGCAGTATAGTTTCATATATACTCTCTCTTAGTTCCCTTCCCAGTTCTTTTTTTTTTCCCCCCAAATATATATATTTTTTAGTTGTAGTTGGACAGAGTATATTTATTTTATATTTTTATTTTTATGTGGTGCTGAATATTAAACCCAGTGCCTTGCACGTGCTAGGCGAGTGCTCTACCACTGAGCCACAACCCCAGGCCCCCTTCCTAGTTCTTTTAAAGAAAATGTGGTAAATATTTTGCTATATATCTTTAAATGATAGACTCCTTAGAAAACATAATCATAATACCACTATTATGCCCCAAATTTAATGCTTTCTTTCATTCACTTGAACTGTTGATTTTGTAAAGCAAGATGTACATGTGTAATTGTTGACTTTTTGTCTTTATTGCCAACTTTTCAGTGAGTAGAGAGATTTCTCCTCCTTTAATAGGCTTTGTTAACTCACTTGCTTCTGAATCCCAGCTTTGTGTGTTGCCATTTTGCCCATTTGCACCTAAACCTCCAATAAAGAAATCAAAAGTTGGAGTGTGTTTGAAGAAGGCAGTTGGGGGTCAAACTGGATCATCTTATGACTTACACAGTTTATGAGGTGCCTTTAAAGTGCTTCAGATGATGACCATTTGCTTGCATTGTCTAGAAGTCACTTATTTTATGGTGTTTTTTGGGGAAGATTCTTTTTTGAAGGCAAGAAAACTTGCTGCATACCAAATTTAAGCATACTTCTTGCTTTTACTAAAACTGTTTGACTAGACTTAATGTTGCATAAAGCAATATTGGCTTATGAGCTTTTCAACTGTTAATGCTTCTGTATGCTTTTGTCTGTATTTTCTTTCCAGACTATTTCTTTTGTCTACATAGTGACGGCAATTGTGGGAGTTGAGGCCTGGTATGAACCTTTCCTGTTTAATTTCTTATATAGAGACCTATTCACAACAATGATTATTGGTAAGAAGCTCCATGTCGAAGCCTGTTTTAACCATCACTTTGTTTTCAAAAGCCAGTGATTGACTATATGTAGAAGTTATGCCTCTCTCCCTGTCCTCTATCTAATAAGCAGAACAGTCCTGCAAACCTGTAGGATTTCAATTTAGACATCAAGGAAAATAATATTTCTTTTATGTTTTTGCTCAGTAAGAAGCTTTTTCTAATAAATAGGAAATGCCAAAATAGATCACACAGGCCTTTTAAAGGAAATATTCAAATTAATATAGACTATATTAGAGGATTCACATGTAGGTAGATGTTTAATCTGTCTACTTGAGAAAGTAAGCCTCTTTTCCTCTTAGATGTCCTCTTTATTCCAATGAATGATTAGAGTTTTTGATAGTGGTAATATTTCCCTTTTGATTTTAGCCAAAGGGGATATCTGTAGGATAATTGAGTACAAGAGAGTATTAATGGTATGGTTAGAGGAAGAGGAATCTAAGTTGTTTTGGGACACCAGGAATAGCACTAAGGACCTCTGTAGAAGTAGAAAACATATATGTAGACTATTGCTCTGTTCCCTTATCGAAGAAACAACCCTGCTTTGTTCTGATGATTAACTTTGATAATGGAATGGAAATTAGGTCAGGCTTGGAAACTGAAAAATCATATTCGTCACTGACTTTCAGAAAAGGAATGGTTTTGGGCATTTTTCCTGTGGTTCTGGATGGTACATGTTTTTGAAATTACCCTATGATCTATTAAATGTTCATTTCCCCCAACCCCTGTATTGGGGATTGAACCCAGGGGCACTTAACCACTGAGCCATATCCCCCAGCTCTTCTTATTTTTTATTTTGAAACAGGGTCTCCCTAAGTTACTTAGGAACTTGCTAAGTTGCTGAGGCTGGTCTTGAACTTGTTACCCTTGTGCCTCAGCCTCCTGAGTCACTGGGATTACAAGCCAAATGTTCATTTTCTGGTGTCATTATGAACTGTAATAGCTTCACCATGAAAATGTTGCTTTTTTTCTTTTATTATTTATGACTCTTGTGATTTAAGCAGCTTGTCTTATGGCAGTTTTGCTGCATTTTACATTTAAATATTCAATTTAAAGATAAAGGCATAAAATATGTCTGATCTGAGACATTTAAAAATATTATTTACTTTAATAGGTACATAATTTTCTTTAAAGCTTTACATTCTTCTGAATTCTTCCCTCTGAAATAAAAATAAAACCCCACTTGTTTCTAAACAAATAAGTGAAACAGCTTTCCCAGCAGATAGATTGTTTAGAATAACCATAGGGTTTATACTAGTTAGTTTCTGCTGATAAAATTGGTGGTGCTAAAGTGGTTGGGGTAGCCTGGAGCCCTAGTAGTGAATGGTTGAAAGGTTGTTAGTAGGTAGAGTGGCTTTCTGTGCCCTTGTGGAAGGTCGCCTTCTTTGGGTACAACAGACAGACTACCAAAGTAGAGGCTTCAGCCTCCCCACTGCCATTTATTATGAAAAAGAATTGAACATCTATTACTGATGGTAGTTCCTTCTACTTTTATGTACTAGTTCCTGTGTTATCATCACTTTTCTTCAACTGCTTTCAGTACCAGTTGCAATATTGTTTCAACTACACCACTGCTCCTATCTAACCCATAGGCTGTTTTATAAAATACAGTCTTTTGTACTCACCCATGGGTTTGCCATTTCTGCTGTACTTCATTCCTTTCTGTATATCTGACTTAGGTTTTGGTGTTCTTTCTCAGAAATCTGAAGAATTCTTTCAGGATTTCTTGTAGTGCAGATCTGGTAGCAGTATATTCTTTGTTTTTGTTTATGTGAAAATGTTTCCTTAATTTTTTTCTTTTAGCATTTTGAATGTATTATTCTAATGCCCTCCAGCATCCATTGTTTCTGAATCAGCTCACATGTTATTGTCACCCAGTGTGTACAGTGTTATTTTTCTTTTTCTTTTTGTCTTTCACAATTTGACTACTATGTACCCAGGTATAGTTTTCTTCACATTGTCCTATTTGTTGAGTTTTTTTGGTGTGTTGAATATAAGTTAATATTTCTGACTAAATGTGTGATATTTTCAGCCACAGTTTCTTTCTTCAGATATTTTTTTTCGGCTTAATTCTTTATCTTCTTGTAAAACTGCACTTACATGTATGTTACACAGATTTGCTTGATTTTGTCATATAGGTGATTTTCTGAGGCTTTATTAAGTTATCTTTAACATTTTTTTAATCCATTTTTTGTAGTGGTTGATTTCTGTCCATCTTTAAGTTCAGTTTTTCCCTCCTGCCATCTCCAATCTGCTGTTGATCCTGTCTAGTGAATCTTGAAATTAAGTTATTGAATTTTTTTTTTTTAGAGAGAGGGAGGAGAGAGAGAGAGAGAGAGAGAGAGAGAGAGAGAGAGAGAATTT